ACTACAGATACAGATTACTGTACTGTCACAGACGATCAGCTCAACGGTGAGAATTTAGACAAATAAAAAATGTAAACTCAAAAGTAAACTAAAATCTTTGAGTTTTAGGAATATTAAAGTCAGTATTTATTATTCGTGGAAAATTGTTAAAGCTTCACTTTAATGAATATTTAGTTTTATTGATACGTTTAGTTTTTGCTGACATATGATCAGATCAATAATGAGTACTGACTCATTAACACAGGAACTGGACTCTGACAGACCTGACCAGACCAGGATCAGGTGTCAATGTTTAACAGTCAGAGGTCAGAGGTCACGCTCAACAATAACCAGCAGAGTTTCACATTAACTCAGCTGACTGCAGATCAGCTGTCCTTCTTTAAAGGAGCAAACATTCAATCTATAATCAGTAATCAATCCATAATAATGATCAGCAGTCCAACAAATGCGTTCATATTCCAAATAGTTCAGACTTACCCACAATGCCTCTCTCTCTGTTCTGGATTAAAGTTTCTTCAACATCAAACAAACAGTCTGAAACTGCTTCAGTCTGTTTCTGTTGTCATACTGCAGCTCTCTGTAGCCCCGCCCCCTCCCTATCTGCAGCCACCTGATTGGCTGTCTGGGTTTTTTGGGAGAATCAATCTCTTTGAATATATCACCTCTTCAAGGACTCTGAACTTTCTCAAGGACTCCTTGAATCTCTTCATGGAACTTTTTCAAGGACTCACTGTGGTTCTCAACCATCGGGGAATCTGTAAATGTTCCTCCACGACAACCTGAAACCTCTGTACAGAACCTCTTCAAGGACTGTTGTTTGTTTACACGTTACTGTTTATTTACACACACACACACAGTCAGCTGATCTGAGGTCTGTGTTTCTCAGCAGGAAGACAATGTGCTGCTGCCACCTGCTGGTCCAAACCAGAACCTCTCATGGTAGGAAGACAACAACTCCCATGATCCAACGCTGCTTCACCACCTCATCTCCCTTCCTCTTGCCCTGCTGTTCTGATGTGAGAGAGCCCCCTACTGGCAGAACGGATGCACTGCGGGTTTAAACAACCAGAACGAGCTCTCGTCTCCTCGTGTTGGTGAACTGAATTTATCACTCCCGTTGTTCCTCTCTCATCCTGCAGGGGTCGCTGCAGCGTCGTCCTCTCCCAGTTTCCTGTCTGACCCTGAACACATCCTGCCATCTGTGACATCACTACATCCTGCCGACCTCATCACATCCTGCTGTGACATCACAGGACCCACACAGACCCTGACCAGAACAGATCTGCCCCCCATTACTGAAATCCATCAGATCAATAAATGAAAATAATACAATAAAAATATAAAAAATAAAACAATAAATAAATAAAGTATATTAAATCCGATAAGTAATTGTAATAGTGTGTTTCTGCTGGAGGTCAAAGGTCAGCTGTGTTTCTGCTCTGATGAGAATAAAAAGAGGAAACAGCCTTTTCTTTTTTGTTCTTTGTGCTTCCTGTGTGGACGCGACAGGAAATGACACGCTGCAGAGGGCTTTTATTTTGTAAAAGAGACCTGCAGCCCAGACTGAACTTCAACAAGTCAGATCCCAGGACATCCAGCTGTGATCATTTCTGATGGTAATTATTGATTATTGATGATTAATGTGGAACAGAGCGGAGCCGACATTCAGCCGCGATCAAACTGAACAGCTGTTTGTGTGTTTATTGATTATACGTCAATGTGCTCATATTCAGAGAGTAAAGGACAGAAAAGAGTCCGTTAACGTCGACAAACAACTGGCATCCACCACAAAGTCACAGTGAACATCACTGCAAAGCCCGTGGAAGATATTGTCATGTTGTGCTTTTAGCTGGATAACTTTAGCTGATGTTAGCTTGCTACTGTTTATTAAATCAATACCAAGTGTCAGAATACAGAAGTTAGTATTAAATAACTCATTTATTCTGACAAACGGTGCTGATTTTAGCCAACAATAAATGATGTAGCGGTACAACGATAGCTTTCTACTAGCCAACAGTGATGTAGGGGCACCCAGCTAGCTAACTGTAGCTAAGCTAAGCTGGGGTTGTCTGGCTGGCTGCGCGGTGTGGGTCTGAACTCGAGGGGGGACTGAGGAGGTCTCAGCTGTCTTACCTGTGTGGGCGGCAGGGCAGGTGCAGTTTCAGGCGGCACTCCAGGACTCACTCTTCCTCCAATCAGAGTCTCCACGTCCAGGTTCAGGTCCTGGATGGACTCGTAGATGTGGTTTGAATCTTCCTCCTTTAGTGACTCCTCCTCACCAGTGCTCTCCTGTATGCTCACCTCCTTATCCTCCTCCTCCTCCTCTGGCTCTATCGGGGACTCCTGGTCGTCATGGTGATCTGCAGATGGTGAGGGCTTGCTATCATTATGGGGGGGGACCACAGGGACCACGGGGACCACCGGCGTTTCCACAGGGATGGGCTGGGTTTGGGGCCGGGGTGTAGAGAGGGGGTCTGCCGGACTGAAACTTGGAACTACTCGATGCTTCCCAGAGTCCTTGTGGTCATCCAGGAAACCTGGAAGGTGATTTTTGTTCAGAGCATTGTCTGTCACGTTTGGTATCCCACTGGTGGTTGTGGTCCCGGTCTCTGCGGGACCAACAGGAGGTTTGCTGGGGTGACGTGGTGCTGGCACGACCAGAGACAGGTCATGGAAGTCCAGTGGGACACCAAACGTGGACATGCGGTTCTCAGTCTTGCGGTATGTGGTGGAAGCATCAGGTTTGAGCCGGATCGTCACCTCGTCCCCCGGTTTGGTTTTTGGTCCTGGGCTTGGTTCCTCGAGACTCTTTGGAACAGGGACGGGGACTGGGACCGGTGCAGCCACAGGAAGCGGAAGCACTGGTTCAGGATTGGGTGGATTGGCAAAGTCTAGAGGGGAGGGGAAGTCCGGCGGCAGCTCCTTCACATACTCAGCAGGGATGTAGAACGGCTTGGAGCCGTGGTCACTGCAAACCTGCCACCAGTGGTCGTTGGTCTTAGCCAGCAGGACGTAGCGCTCGTTGGGTTTGATGGAGACCAGCACCCCGTCCCGACCCTGGTACTCATACGGAAACTCCACCAGAACCAGACCCAGACCTGCGGGACCCAGATCAGACCAGAAGATTAGAGGAAATAATGACGTACAGTGTTAAAGGGAATGCTAATGCTAATGCTAACTCAACAGCTACTGATAACCTTACTACTCCTTCTTTAAAGCTTCCAGATATGACAACTACTAACTACTACTAACTACTACATTTAAAGTTGAATAACTTAAAATGAGGACTCACCTCTGCCGAGCTGGGAGGAGGTCATTGTCATGGTGACGGCGCTGGGATCCTTAGGCTCCGCCCCCTTCAGGTAGATGGGCAGGTGACTCTGAAGGTGAGTGGTCAAAGGTCACACCTGATCATCAGCCCCCTTAAAGAGAGAAAACTCACATCAGAACTACTGACAGTCTAAA